TTTAAATTATATTTAATAATAATAATAATCAATAATCATAATATATATACATATACTAGTAATGCCTACCATCCTGATGTTGTGCCAATAATAATTTGTTTAGTAGCAGATGTTTTGCTCACATCTCCAAAAATCTTTTCTGCCATGCTTTTTGCTTCTTTGGAAAGGTCTAAGCAATCTTCTTTGTTTGACTGTTTTTTATTTTCCTTTTTTATTGGAAAATTCATTTTAACGCTGAAAAATGTTTATTAATTTCATTTCTTGGTTGTAAAATAACAATTCTAAATTACATAAGAAATTATAAATTCGTTAGAGTTCATGATTTCTTTAATTTTTAAACATATAAATGTTTATATTATTTCATCATTTTTTATTGAATTTATTTATTTTTACAAATTATCACGCAAATAATAGAGTATAAATGCCTATATTCACGTCTTTAAATAACATTGTCAAGAAATCATTCTTCGGCTATTAGTCAGGACGAAAAAATACCGATGATCACATTGCCAAGAAATTGTAATAATGAATTGTTTATTATGATAAATTATTATACTTTCCAAATAAACTTGTTATGTCACATAACATTTAAACAAACTATCGAATGAAAGTAATGTATTTCAATATAAAATGAAAAACAAAAACTATCTACCGTTTAAATAATTTTCTTGCTCCTGATTTGACGGTATTCTTATGTAGTTTAGGCATAATATATTTAAGACGTGTTTAACAATGATTAGTATTTACACGTATAAGGCTCACCTAATCGTTCAGTTACTGAAGTTTCTGATAAAATTAATACGTTTGTGCAAAGACTGATCTGACAGATCGAAAATCCGGTATTCCGTATCGATCACTTTTGGTTTAAAGACTTAAGACGTTAAAATAGCAAAATGACGCAGCAACCGTCTAAAATGTTAAGACTTCCTAAAATACTCTATCGAAAGAAAAATCTAAAATCCGTTGCATAATTTTGTAGGTAATGATATTAATAAAGTAAATAATGTCAAATAATTGAAAATAAGTTCTTTATTAAATTACAAAAATCTCAATAATACATCCTAATATGATTATATTGTAATATGACTAGTGAAAAAAATATTACATTTGTTACATATGTAGTTATATATCCTAATAAGGAATTTAACAAAATGTAGTGAATGTTTTCAATATCATTTATATGAAACAATAACTAATCATGTAATTGTTGATTATTTACGCTCTTTTCTTCCTTTGTACATCTATTGTTCTAAGTTAGATTTATTTTTATTCAGTTAGATATGTATTATCAAATCTATATAAAAAATATTATAAATAGAGTATATTTTAAAATTGAAATTATGTTTTACATTTAGTTATTTTTGTCGATATTTAAGTTGATTTCTTTGTGCATCGAAATATGGCAAAAGATTTGACTTTTCGCGCTATTTTGGGACGTTTCAGAGAATAATGTTCTCTAATACCGGAATTATAGGTCGACGTGAGCCGTGATAATGGTCTTCCGTCGCGTGATTCGCCATCCTGGTTTAACCTGATTGCCGCTTTTAAAAACTTATCATCCCGATGAAGTGACGAGGTGTCGAGGGCGTAAATTGTGAAAACTCCCGGATTTTTGTACAAAGCGGCCTGTTTTAAGTGTAAACATGTGTCCTTCCTGTTTTTAATGAGTATATTTACCCAGTGTGAAAATGGCCCAGGATACTGACGATATCAACTTGACTCCTCAAGAATTACAAATACTATCTGAGTTAGACAGGTGATTTTGAAGTAAACAAAAGTTACTGCAATAAAGCTTGTGCTAGTTTCTTAATTTTCTGTGTGAAAACATAATCTTCTAATTGTTTTCCTTACATACCTTTCAAAATATAACCTAAAAGGTTGTTTGACAGAATAGGCGCGCAATTTGATCGGTTTATTTGGACGTGCGTGTAACCCATTGACATCCTTTTTATACTTCTAAACGTATTGACTGCGATTAATGTATTATTATAGATTTATAATCCGGATAATGATTGTTTATGATATTAAAAACATAAACTCTCACGTAAAACTATATTTAAAAAGTATTAAAGAAAAAATATTTAGAAGTATAAAATGAGGAATGTAACTGATATTTGTTATTTTGATAAAAATTTATTAAAAGGCAATAATATTTCGTGTATGTGTTGTTCTTTGTGCTTATATTAAGAATTTATTATTATATATTCTAATTAATCATATTTTTTTTTATTGTGTGTGCAGCCGACAGTTTGGATTTTTAAAATTAAATTCACCAGAGCAATCAAAGAAGAAAGCTTTAGTTGTTCGTGC